AATTTTTGCATCATGATACCATATTTTTTTTTCTTTTTAGTATGTATATATTTAAATATAACAAAAAGAAAAAAAATAAGATCACATGAGAAATTGTATAAAAAACTAAATCAAAACAACTTGTATTCAATAGAACTTGCATAAAAAAAGGGTTGCTCCTTAAATACACACACACACACACACACACATATATATATATATATATATATATTGGTCCCCTCAAAAGTATTGGAATGGTATGGCCAATTGCTTTGTTTTTGTTGGTCAATGGAGACATTTGGGTTTAATATCAAAAGAAGGATGAGACAATTTCAGTTTTTATTTCCTAATATTTACATTTAAATGTGATAAAGAGCTTAGGACATGCCACCATTTGTATCAGATCACCCCATTTTTTAGGTGAGCAAAAGTAAAAGAACAGATAGTCCTAAAGTAAATAATCTTTAATATTTGGTTGCATAACAGTTGCTTGCAATAACTGCATCAAGCTTGCAACCCATTGACACCTCCAAACTGTTGCATTCTTCATGTGTGATGCTTTTCTAAACTTTTACACAGCCTCCCTGTGTTCTTGTTTGTTTCAGGGGGTTTCTTCCTGCAGTCCCCTCTTCAGGAGATGAAATGCATGCTCTATTGAGTTATGGTCCAATGATTGACTTAGCCAGTCTAAAACTGTTCACTTTCCCCCTGATGAAGTCCTTTGTTGTCTTGGAAGTATGATTGGGGGTCATTATCCTTCTGCATGATAAGCTTCCACCCAATTACTTTGTGTATATTTCTCTGTAAATTAGCAGACAAAATGTTTCTGCAAACTTCTGAATTAATTCTGATGCTACCATCATGAGTTACATTATCAATAAATATGAATGAACCTGTTCCAGAATCAGCCATACAAGCCCAAGCCAAGATACTGCCTCCATCATGCTTCACAGATGAACTTGTATGCTTTGGACCATAAGTAGATCCTTTCTTTCTCCACACTGTGGCCCTTCCATCATTTTGGTAGAGATTAATCTTGATCTCATTAGTTCATAAAACTTTCTTCCAGAACTTTTGTCACTCATCTCATACAAATTCCAATCTGATTCTTACTTCTGATGAGTAGTTTGCATCTTGTGGTATGGCTTTTGTATTTCTGCTCTCAAAGCTTTCTTCAAACAGTGGATTGTGAAACCTTCACCCCTGCACTGTGGCACTCGTTGTGGTGATGTCATTGACTGTTGTTTTTTCCTCACAGCTCTCACAATGTTTCTGTCATCAACTGCCGTTGTTTTCATTGGCCAACCTGTTTTATGCCTGTTGCTCCATACACCAGTAGTTTTTCTTTTTTTCAGAACATTCCAAATTGTTGGCTATGCCCAATGTTTGTATAATGGCTCTGATTGATTTCCCTTAATTTCTCAGCATCAAACTGGCTTGCTTTTCTCCCATAGACAGACCTCTTTATATTTGTTGATTTTTTTTTTAACAAAGAATGCAATCTTTACAGGTTAAAACCCAAGAGTAGTCATTCAGAACTATTTAATATTTAAACAATCAATCTAAAAGGCAATATCTAGGCAACAAGAAACACCTGTCAGTCTTGTTTCAATAGTTTTGCCCACTTGAAAAGTTAGAGGGTTCAAACAAAAGGTGGTACGTCCTAAGTTATTTAGCACCTAATGTTTTTTTTTTTTTTTTTGTTTAAAACCGAATTTTCCATTCTTGGTATTAATGATAAGATATAAATATTTATTGATTATAAACTATCAGTAAAATTAAAATCTAGAGATCATAATAACACCTAAGTATGAAGTAAAATTATTTTACTTGTGTTAAAAAGAAATAAAAAAGGCAAGTTACTACTCAGTTCTCAAACTTTCTGTAAAGTTCAAAATAAAATTTTTAATTTTTTTTAAATATTGTTAATTCACCCATTTAATATTAATAGTTCATTGAATAATTATAATCAAAATTATGTAATATAAACACAAAATGAATTCATGTTGTAGTTCTGCCAGACTCTCTTTTAAGACAATTTTTATTATATATTTTTTAATTTTAAAAAAGAAAAAAATGAATGTGATATTCCTGCAAATGTCACATTTGATTTCTTCACATAAAAAATTGACCTTGTGTCACAAATTGTCCTCATAATTAAATTACAACAATTTGTTTCTATAATAGTTTTAATCCATAAAATCATTTTTTAGTCTTGGTTATTGAAAAGATTTTGTTTTGTTTATGTAGCGTACTGCATAAGCATAAGTAAATCTTCTTTTCAATAACCGAGACTTAAAAAAAGAAAACATTCTTTTGACGAAACTTAAATTTACCATTTCTTAAAATTTTATAGCTTTTGAAACAGATTTTCACCTTCATTTACTTAAAATAAACAAACTGTTATTTGAAGCTTCCATACTATCAAACAGGGGCACATTATGCAATATTTTATAAACATAAAAAAAATTAAAAAATATTTTTAAAATTTTGGTGCAAAATACTTTATATAAGGCTTTTCAATTTTTGATTAGTAAATATAGTTTTCACATAATAACAATATCATTTAAAAGACGGAAATTAATACAGAATTTGAAGAGTTAAACTTTACAAATTATTATAATTAAAATATAAAAAAAAATTAAAACAATTCTTGTAAAAATTTGTTATTCATTGAAAACAAAAATTTTCTTAAGACAATAGTGTCTTTAATAAATCTTATTTATAAAGCTATTAAAATTTTTCTAATTAAATAATGTCATAGTTTTATTGCATTTTTGATTATACAATTCAGAGCAGTTTTTTTTTTTTTTTTTTTGAATTTGGTTGTATTGGAAAAAAAATTGTTGATTCACATTCTCCAAGGAGTCCTGCTTTTAACTAATAACAAAAAAAAAAAATATTCTAATGAAAGTTTAATTTCTTAAAATTTCATGAAATTAAGTAGGAGGTAACACACACACATATATATATATATATATATATATATATATATATATATATATATATATATATATATATATATATATATAATATAATGTGGTGGTTCCAACGAGAGAAAAGTATGTATATTAAAAAAGAAGAAGAGAGGTGCCGTAAACGTTTTTGGTTGTAATGTGGATTTATTTAGAAAAAATATTATGCTTTGTTTTACATAATTTCACGACACTTGTTTCTGGTCTCGCGACCGTCTTCAGACCAAGATTTTCTTAAAAAAAAAAAAAATTCAGAAATAATTACATTAATTTGTGAAGTAAGTCCTAAAAGTTTCATTAAAATCTGACAATTATTTGATTTGTGCAAGAATTTCCAAATCATTGTGTTTTTTACAGGAAAGCAGTGCAAAAACACTAATCGTAAATATTACATAGACCGCTGATACAAAAAAACAAAATTTTTAACGTGCTGGAAAGGATTAAAAAATTTAATAAAACAAAAAAATAAAAAAAAATTACTTTGGTCTTTCCTCTTAATAATAACAAACATTTTGACAATAAAACTTTGTTTTTATTAAGTTTGGGGTCTTTTATTATGCAATACTTTTTTTTTTTTTTTATTTTTTTTTTCAGTGAAAAAGTGGGAGTGTTGTTGCACTTTTATTCTCTTTTTTCTTTTAACAAAAATAAAATGCATTTTGATTCTTTTTAGAAATATAAAGTTTCTAGTTGTGAGAATAATTGTTTCAGACTAAAACTTATTAGTGATTTTATTTTTTTTAGATAAGATTGAAGACCCATTATTATTTATATATTAAGTTGCTGTGATTATATTTAATTCCTATTAAATGTCTCTCAGCAAATTTAAACTTTGCATTTATTTTTTAGTCAATGTCTTGCAGGATTAGGTACTCATATTTTATCAAGGTATATGCACGAGTTAAACCACAATACATAGGATGATGCCTTTCTGCTTAGAGTATTATTCTTGCAATATTATATGTATGTAATATTAGGGTCTCTTACTTTTTAAGTGCATATTGAAATTGAATTGTCACCTAAATTTGTTCCATTCCTTGAAAAATGCCACATATAAAATTTTAAGGAGATTGCATAATATTTAGAGGGCGCCTTTGCTTTTTAAAACTTAAAGGTGGACAAAAAAAAAAAATCGACCCTTTTTTTATTTTACAAGTAATAGCATGCCATTATTAGTTGAATCTTTGCAAATTATACACATTAGAAAACAACATTTTTTTATCTAACAGTGAAAAATTAACATTTTAACTGATGTTTATTATTTTCAGACACCAATTATATCAAGTGTATCCAATGCCGGACAGAAATATGTAGTTTGGAAGTTTTTTTTAAATATTTCTGATGATAACCAAAGTAAAGCAATATGTCAACTGTAGCTAAGTGATTTATGTAAAGAAATTGTTCTCTTTATTGTTTAAACTCTTACCCAGTTTTTTAAATAAAAAGGATATCTAACTTCATTTAATAAGGTTTTGTATTCATTTTTCTACTAAATGTTTTATTAGTAAATGTACTTTGTTCATTAAGTTTTTCAAATCAATGGTAGGGCCTAGAAATAATTAATTTTAGTCATTGTAGGTATCGGAATCAGAAATTTAGAATGGTATTGGGAATTGTATGGGTATCAGTAAAAATATTGGTATTTTCCCATCACTAATTAGAATCCAACTGCTAACCACTTCATCTTCCTTTTAAACTACATGTTGGTTAATAAAGGAAAAATTAAATGAAAATCAAGTGGACAGCACATGGTGTTTGTGCTTCATACCACGTGACAGGTTAAACATTTGGTTATAATAAAAATGCACAAAAGACAAATAGTAAATTGAAAGGGTTCAAAAGTAGCTGATGCAATGGCTAGTGCAACCAAACAGCAGTAGTTATAGATCTGTGCCATGACCTGGGAAATCTGCTCTCATGGAAATTAGTGCCAGATTAGATTAAACTGGATTTGGTGATGGCCGACCTTTTATTAAGTTTTATAATAGTTATTCTTCCATATTTTTATTTTGTTAAAACAATTGATTTATGTTTCTTTTATTTCAGGTTATGTTTCATTTTGAAATTGTCTAAAGCTGAAATCAAATATGCCAATTCAAGCACCTCAGTGGACAGATTTCCTCTCCTGCCCTGTTTGCTACAATTTATTCAATGAACAATGTCATCGTCCTATTAGTTTGGGCTGTGGACATACTGTGTGCAAGACTTGCCTCTCCAAACTTCATTCTAAGAAATGTCCCTTTGATCAGAGTGTTATATCTCGCACAATTGAAGAATTGCCAGTGAACTATGCCCTGCTCCAATTGGTTGGGGCTGCTATTCCTGAGAAAGAGAGTCTTTCTATCAGTGACTTATCAGAACATTGTAGATCCTATGAATCTGCTAATGGATGTATCGAACAGTTAGCTGTGTACCTAAAACCTTTTTCTGCAGGTAAGTTGATTGTTGCTGCTGTCTTTTTCTCTTTGACTACATTTTTCATGTTACATGGAAAACCTTATTACTATTCACCAACTCCTTAGATCAAAATTAGTGTTGTTTTTTGTTTTGTTTTTTTTAATTAATAATTTTTATTAAAATAAATGTTTTTACACAATACCTGGAGCTTTGGCTGTAAAGTAGTTGAAATCCAAGTAAAAAAAAAAAGAAAACTATAACTTCTATGATTGTCTACACTGAGGAAGTAAAAACATTTTGCACTGATAGATTTATTTTTGCAAGCCACTAAACCTCCCTTTTTTGTGAAAGTCTTTGGATAAAGAACATTAAAGTAAAACTGCAAAATTATTTCTTATTTCATTAAAGTAAAACTGCAAGATTATTTCTTTCCAGTTAAAATGTATTTTTCTGTTGGCAAATTTATTGATATCTATATACTTTTTTTATATATATATATATATATATATATATATATATATATATATATATAAAATTTGTCACTGATTGATGTTATATTCAGCAGCCTGATTCCAGAGTTTTGTAGACAAACCTTTGTGTAATGGTTCGGTTCACTCGTCAGGAGGTATCAGCAATTGTCTGTTGATTTTTCTCATTTTTATATTAAGTTTAAAAAAATAATTTATGGACTTTTTATTGATTTTAGGTTGATTTTTTTTTTTTTTTTTTTTTTTTTTTTTGTATGTATATGTATAATATATGTATGCACACAACTACGTAGAATAGTGGTTATTTCTTCATAATTTTCTTGTCTCCTTATATTATTTCATTATTCCTTTGCTTTTTTTTTTTTTTTTTTTAATCTATATATAAAATATGGGAAAATTTTATATAAATTTTTATATATCAGAACAGTGTTAGGAAAATTAATGACTGGAAATTTTTTGTGATGTGTTTTGTCCTTTAGGACTTCATTGAACTAAAATAATGTTTTTGCCAATGTAATTATTTGTGCATATATGAAGGGAAAGGGAATATAAAAAAATACAAATGTTGGTTATAATTATGAAAATTTTTTTTAGAGGTATGTCTGGGTCTAGCCAATTTCATTTAGTTTCTTTATACTTTTGTTTTTATTACTTTTATTATTAAGTATCCTATATTGTAATAGTCTGACCATAACTTTAATTTCAAAGATGCTGTTTTAATTAAAAGAGAAAGCAATTTACTAAGACAAAAGTGTATAGAAAGTGTTTCAATTCCTAAATTATCCCCAGTAAAATAGGTTCTTAGCATCTTACCTTTCTTGACAGACCTTCTGTTATCAAAAGTGATAAAAACAAATCATAAAAAATTACTTTTAGTCTGAAGTTATAAAGGATGAAAGATGTCACATGAAAATTTTTTTCCTTCATGAGAATATACTAAACAATGTACTAAACTTAGCAAAACAACACATGACTGTCCCAATGAAGACATAAATATAATTAGACAATGCCGAAAATCTATATTATACCACATTAAAAAGAATATGTACAAAAAAGAGGCAATAATAATGTTGATGTAACAAAGGGTAGCTATGATGGTACATAGGGCTCATAGATATATATGATCTTTAAATAAACATTTAGCACCTACTGTTTCAAAAATGTGATAACTTTCTTTGTATTGTGTGTATAGATTTTATTTTTGTATACTAATAAAAGAATGGATGAATAATATTTTGATGTGATGTATTGTTTTGCATGCATGTTTTGACATTGAAAACGAAAAAATTCATTAACAATTTAAATATAGACACCTATATATATATATATATATATATATATATAAAAGAACAAACATCCCCACCAAGGCAAAAACAAATAAACTACTAACCATTAAATAAAAATGAAACATTAGATAAATGATATCATATAAGCAAATATTTAATTTACTAGATATACACTATTTAAAAATTACATATGTGTGCGAGCAAGAGTGTGCAAAAATATATATTCTATATACATATTCAAACAGCAAAGAAAACCCTCTATAAACCCAACCAACCATAATGAATACTCTAAAAATAGAAAAAAATAACTTTCAATACCATTTAAGCACTAGTTAATTAATAACAAAGCACACACAAGTGTGACTGTGTATGTGTGTTTTGTATGTGCAAACATATAAATACAGGCACATGCACATAAATTCAAACCATGATAAATAAAAATTTAATGATAAATAAACCTCCTACAATTAATACTTTAAGTACTTAAGATACCACCAAAGCAAATAAGAAAACAAAAGGATCGTCAAGTGAAGACATAAAAATATTTATCATTTAAGGATTAACATCAATTATTTATGTAAAAAACAAAGTACAATTTTCCTAACTCAAGAAAAGACTAGAATGCTCAAAAATAAAAAGAGAAAAACAGAAATAAATAGCAACAAATAGTTACAATTGAAAGAAAAGAGGAAAAGAAAAAAAGAGAGAAAACGCTAAGGAGTGAGTGTAAAGTAAAGGGAAAAAACATTTAAAAAAAAAATAAAACAAAGGACAAATAATCATGACAACCTACACGTACATACACCTGCACAGATGGGTGTATGGTTGGACTTGTGCAAATGCATGCAGATAATACGGAAAACCTTGCATCAATGATGAGGGCTTAACAAAAAAAAGAAAAAAAAAAAAAGAAATCAAGAAATATAAGCAGTCGGTTGCTGATAACCCACTGAAGAGTGAGTGGACAAGCCTATCTATGAAACTCTGGAATCTGGATGCTGAAGGCATCAATCAGCTAAGTGACAGACTTGTATTAAATATATAATATATATATATATATATATATATATATATATATATATATAATACAAATATAAAGTTTGTCACTTAGATGATTGGTGTTAATCTCACCAGTTTTGTAGATGTACCCTTCAGCATTCACTCTGTCCACTCGCCAGGGGGTATCAACAATTGACTGTTTTTATTTCTCTTTTTTTTTCTCTTTTTTTTTTTCTTTTTTTTTATGTATGCACTTTTCATTGGGGCAAGATTTTTTTTCTGTGTGCACATGCACCCACCTGGCATTTGTTTGTACATGTAGAATGTTGTGGTATGTGTGTGTACACACCCACACTTTTAAACTTTCTTGGAGGAATTAAAAAAAAAAATGATAATTTACTTATATTTTGTCATGTGTACATACATGAAAACAATCTATACATTCAGTTACATAATTTATGTCCAGTTCAACTATGAACATGGCCACAATGTGCTGACCATGTTTGAAAATTATATATATATATATATATATATATATATATATATATATATATATATATATGGTAATAATTTAACTTTTATAAATCTTTACTTGAAGTTTGTTTTTGGGGATTTTTTTGCCATACATTCCTCAGATTTTCTACTGATGATTGGATGGAAGAATCATGGAACTGCTTGCACAGATAGATTTATAAAAGAAAAGTTAACTATTTTATTACCAATAATTACATACTGCTCTCTTTTGATATTGAGCTCTGTATTTACAAGGATTGTTTGCTCTGAATGTAACATCTTTTGGTGTTGCAAGTTGCCCTGATCAGAAGTCACATTTTGGATGAAATAGTCTTTATTATTGTTATGTAATAATGATTTTTTTTTCTGTTGTGTGTTTGTGTGTGTGTATAGGTGCTGGTACCACTAATGCCATTCTGAGCAGACCCATGCAGAGAAAGCTGGTAGCCTTGGTTAACTGTCAGCTAATTGAAGAAGAGGGACGGGCTCGTGCTATGCGTGCTGCTCGTTCTCTTAGTGAGAGGACTGTTACTGAACTTATTCTACAGCACCAGAACCCACAACAGTTGTCAGCAAACCTATGGGCAGCTGTGAGGGCGAGGGGCTGCCAGTTTTTGGGACCAGGTGAGTTGAATGTTTTTTTTTTTTTTTTTTCTTCATTTAGAATTGTTTGTCTACCAGGGCTCCAGATTAACTTTTCTTACTATCATCCTGGAACTGTCCCAAAATCTATTTTATCATTTACATTTGTTAGCACTGTAACAAAAACACTATTAAAACGGTTAAGAAATCAATATTTTTGATCTGTTCAGTCTTTAGCCCTTTAGTATTTGACATGTTCAAACCTGCTCTCAGAGTTTCACTGTTTATGGTTAGTCTCACTCTTTGCATGGCTTCCTGCATTATTTGTGATGATGATATCATATATTCTGGTAGAGTATACATGAAGCAGGTTATGGCGTGTTAACATTGAAAGCTGATATTTATGGGGCAGGTTTGGGGAGTGGGTTCCTGCTAAAGGTTTAAACATTTGTTTTTAATGCAAATAGTACAGATACATAACAAAAAATTGAAAAACGTAAAATATTAAAAGTAAATAAATACAAAAACAAATTAGATAAATTTTACTATAATTTTTATTTACAATTATCTACTTCATGTGATTAAGTTTATGATAAGCAGAGAACATGATTTATGATAAGAAAACACAACATAGATGTTGCTTGTTAATGATTCATTCAAGTTTTTTAACCAAAAAATTGAGAAAAAAAAAATTTTTTTTTTTTTTCTTTCTTTTTTTAAGGCCAAATTATTTCTTACAATTAAATCTAAATGGTTTTTCACATTTAGAGGCAAAAAATATAAACAACTGCATTTAAGTTTGACCTTTATTTTTCATTTGGGTTATATTTACCAGCTTAAAAAGGTTGTGCTTAAGTTGTGTATTCATGCTACATTTATTAAAAGTTGCTACTATTGATGAGATGTAAGTTTGTTTTTTTTTTGTTTTTTGTTTTTATATTAAGAAATTAGAATAAACATAGAATTTTTATATAAAATTTTGTTTCCTCCCAAACTAATGTTCTATCATCCCTGGGATGACATTAATCTTGAGCCCTGCTGTCTACTAAAATAGATGAATTCTGAAAAACTAAAGAAACATGTCTTTGAGAATACATATTTTCTACTTAATTGAATCTTACTTATTATAAAACGCAGATTGTGTGTGTGTCTGTACATTTATATATTGGATCGGATTTCCTACATTTTTCAACTGATTTCAACAAAACTTCACAGGACTACGTAAAATTACCTTGCAGTGGCTCTGACAGCGCCAAAATTGGAAAAATACAATTGTTTTTGCACAAAATCAATTTGAAAACACGATTCTGTCATCAGAATGGAAGGGGGACAACTCATATCGAGTTATACTTATTATAAAACCCAGGTTGTGTTCGTTTATATATGGGATCGGATTTCCTACATTTTTCAACCGATTTCAACAAAACTTCACTTTTTTTTTTTTTTTTTTTTGGCAGATAGTGTTTCTTATTGTCTTGCACACTTTTTTCTTTATTTTTACATTCAGAATGCTTTAAAAATTCCATTTACAAGACAATTGTTTATAATAAAATTCTATTCAATCGATACTCATAACAATTGAAAACAATGTTTTTGTTTGGGTTTGACCAATTCGTAAAAAAAAACTAATTAAGACATGCGTGTCCGTCAACCTTAAACAATAATCTTTGTCAATTTTATTTTTCAGTCTTTATGATGGTCAATACTTGATCTATCTCTTACTGTTACATCCCCGGGCTCTACTGCTAGTTTATTATAAATGGGAGAAAGTAAAAATTAAAAATATGTCTTTGGAAGGACATTGCTTAAGGTTCCTGAATTTAAAAGTAGATTTTTCAATTTGTTACTAAAAGCAATATAGACTTTTGTTATATGACTTTTTTTTTTAATATTCTAAATAATAAATTTTCTTTTTCTTTCTCACTCTCCATTCAGCCATGCAAGAAGAAGTGCTTAAATTAATTCTTCTAGCTCTGGAGGATGGATCTGCTTTGTCTCGTAAGGTTTTGGTTTTATTTGTTGTCCAGCGACTGGAACCTCAGTACCCACAAGCTTCTAAAACAGCTATTGGTCATGTGGTACAACTACTTTATAGAGCATCCTGTTTTAAGGTAAGTTCTATTGAAAACTCAGTCATTAGCTGAATCTTTGAGAAATGTCTTTCAATATTCAGTATTTCTTTTATTAATAAACCAACATACTTTATCTTCATTAGTTTCTCGTCAATTTTATCTCAACCATATTGTTTTTCAAGATCTTTCTATATGTAATTTCTCTTCTTCATTGAAAAGCTTACAGAATCCCTTGAGGGGTATTATTTAAAAATAGTGAAATTTTCTTGTTTAATTCTTCAGCTATTAACCTAAGTAATGGGCTGAATGGTATTGCATGATGTCACAATATGCAGCTTTTTAAATCTTTTACAAGGTTGAGAAATCGCACACCATCTTATCTGTACATTTACTGTATTTATTCTTTATTTCATTAAGTAGACAAGATTTTTTAAATTGGAAATTATTAAGAATTAGAAAATGTTTGAACTGTGAATCTTTTTTTTATTTTAATTTTTTTTTTTAGATTCATATTTATTTAAACTATTTAACTTTCGTTTATTAAAAAAGTTCTGTCTAAAGCTAAAAAGAAGTACATATTGGGCATATGTTTTGTTTGTATGAATTGCTATAATAATCAAGGCTTACAGCCATATCACATTGAAACACTGGTTCTTGTATAATCACCAAAGTTAAGCAACGTAGAGTCTGGTCAGTACCTATATGGGTGACCACTTAGGAATAACAGATGATCTAAGCTTGGATGTATGGGTTGGGTAAAGGATAACAGCTTGGAATTGAAAATTGGAGAGTTCCAATTTCAGTTCAGTTATATTACTTATGCACAAATACCTGCGTGGGAAAAGGTATGAATCCACTTCTCCCCTTACCCACCTATGGGTTAATTAGTAGAACTTAAAATTCATCATTATATCAGAAGAAAAATTCTTACAATCTAAAAAAATATTTTCTGGCTTTAAATAATCTGCAAAAAACACAAATCAGTTATAATACTTAAAAAAAAACAAAAAACAGCTACTGTATTTTATGGCTTATAAACCTCCTTTTTCCATTTACTTTTAATCTTACAGTCTTAATGTATTAAGGTAGGCATCTGGGTAAACATTAGCTTAACCAATACATCTAAGATTGGAGATGTAATATTACACTATTATGGAGTTATGCTACATACAATTCATTAGCCTACCAAATACCTCAGTTTGATCATAATACTTGGGAGGTATTTTTGTACCATTTGGGTGGGGATAAAGTGGTGGAGAGAGGAGGTGTTGCATGTCATTAAATATAACAACTTAACTGACAGCAGTCTGATCATTTGACTTCTTTTTTCCTCAATAGGTTACTAAACGAGATGAAGAATCATCTTTAATGCAATTGAAAGAAGAGTTTCGTACTTATGAGACTCTGCGTAGAGAACACGATGCCCAGATAGTTCAAATTGCTACTGAAGCTGGTCTTCGTATTTCTCCTGATCAATGGTCGTCTCTGCTTTATGGAGACACAGCCCATAAATCACACATGCAGTCAATTATTGATAAGGTAAGTCAGCTATGTTGTTGTACTGTCATTTCCTTCTTGGATTAAGTCCAGTGTTTAATCACAGGAATTTTCCTGATAATTTTCTCCTTGGTTATGGTTATTTGAAAGCTTAGGTTTTTTTGCATTCCCAGTCTCCTTCTTTGCGGTTGTAAGTCTGGAAAATGCCAACCTCATTCACCAACAAACACACTGAGGAGTGACAAATTAATCTGAAACAAAACAGCAGACAATGTCTTCATTCAAGTAGCTTACTTGTTCATATTTAATATATTATGTTCATAATTATCTAATATTGGTAATGTTGTTTTAAAATATCTATATAAAAATAGATTATTTCATGATTATTTCTAATACTTTAAAAACCCATGTAATTTACACATTTCTTTTTTGCAAAAATAAAAACTTTAGGTGTGTGTGAATTACAAGAGTAGATTGTTTCCAGGCTTTTTTGTTTTTTTAGTTGATGAAAAAAAGACATACAAAACAGTGAAAGTAAAAAGTTGACTTATTTAATGTCAGAATAAGTTTATATGAATATTATATATGAGTATATTTAATATTACTATATTATATTTGTACTCATTAATTTAATATTGCTACTTTAATATTTAATACTCGTATATGAGTATATTTAATGAAGTTGACTTATTTATGCTGGACGGTATGATGCTTACTTTTTCTGTATAAATTTACTAAAATCATTAAATGGTCAACTACTTTTTGAAGTCTAACATTCATGATTGTAATCATGATTCTGGCCATATTTTACATTGCTTGTAGAGAGTTTCTACCTATCACAGTGGAGCACCATTGTCATACATAATGATATAGATATTCTTCACTGGAAAAAATGTAATTATATAATCTTGACTGTATGGTTTTAGTCTTGTTTTGTTGTGAGATCGGCAAAATTGTTGAGGATGGTAAGGAAATGGATGTAAATTGTAAACATTTACAATGCTGACAATCACAATCCTGATTTCTACATGTGAGCATAATCTGGGCCATATAATTTAGTATCTTTTAATGTGATACTTATTACACAGAAATTATTTTTAACTAATGAACTTTAATAAAATCTAATTGTAAGTAAGTGAAATTACACTAAATATAACTAAATTGAAAACCTCTTCCCTCTGCAATTCTGGAAATTTTTGGGTGCAAATTTTAGATGAGTAGAAGCTTTTTTAATAAATTTTATCCTAAAAGTCACTTGTGGGAATTACACAGGTTTTAATGGTATATTGTTATATTACTGAGTGCCCAAATTTTCTTTATCCAGTCAGAAGAACTATTGATGAACTTTTGTAAATATCAATCCCTTGCTTTTTGATTTTCAAACTGAAAACGAAACAACTTTGCCCATCTTTAACCACTTGTTTCATCTTTGTCTACAGTTGAAGATGGTACAAAAATGTTTTTAGTTTTCGTTTGTTGTTCTCTTGCTGTTACAAGTGAATTCTTTTAATTCCATTGGCTCCAACCAATCCTTTTTTTCCCTTTAAATAACAATTTCATTTATGAGTTGCATTTTTCATCACATGCAGAATTAAGCTCTCATCTTAACCCATGTATGGAGGGTTTTAACATCATTAGAGCCAATAATTACATTTGCCACTTTGGTAAATATATTTGTAGTTGTAAAAAGTTGATTGTAAATCTGAATTTATATCCTTATCCCCACCAAATTTAATATAACAAGGGAAGTTTAAAAATAGAGATTTCCAATAAACTATTTTCAGTTTTTTGCATAAATTAAAAACATTTGTGTTTTTTTTTACAAGTAGCTTCCTTATTTTATGCAAAAAGATTTTAATTCTATGAAACCTTCTTCAAATGTCACTATCACAGGAAAACAACTGATCTAGAATATATATTTTTATATGTACACATACATTGTGTGTGTATGTAAAATGACAAATTCTTTACTAGTTGTTTTTTTTATAAACAGAAGTTGTAAAATTATATATATATATATAATTTTACAACTTCTGTTTATAAAAAAAAAAACAACTAGTAAAGAATTTGTCATTTTAATTTCTCTAGTGAATACTCTCTTGGATATAAAATAGGTGTTATTAAAAATTTCTTTGAGTGCAGGAGAATTTGTTCTCTTGCACACTTTTCTTTAAAGAATTAACTAACATAAATGCTTATTAATAACTGATTTCCTAATGAATTGTTGAAATTTCCATATTAGACTTTTTCTGCCTAAGATAGCTAATAGCAATGATGAGAATAGAAACATAAACAATAACATTATTTTTTATAATAATCATATGGATGAAAATTACAAACAAGATGAAACTAGAATTAAGAATATTATTAAAAAATGCTCAACACCAGTTGACAATAGCAAAAAAATTAGAATAATTATTTATTACAAAGAATTTAAAACCTCTAAGCTTATAGTTAAAAATAATTCATCTCTTAGAACAAAATTAAATAGGACAAATATTATTTACAAATTTAAATGTCCATTATGGAATTGTAATGAAAATTTGTAAATAATTATATAGACCATACTACAACATGTTTGACATGAAGACTCGCACTACACCTTTCTGACCATAGCTCAATTAGGTCTCATTTAAATACCCATGGAGACCTACTGGACCCTATTCATAATATACTTGTTAACAACACAAATATAATAGCGTCATCTACATACACAAAAAGGCTAAAAATAATGGAAGCGTTAATAATAAAAACAAAAAAAAAAACAACACTAAATAATATCAACTATGAACATGGACACAATATCTTGACAGTGTTTTAAAAATGAAAACATTATATAAATACATACATATAACAATCTATTTCTTGTTAACAGTTAATATATTTCAACCTTGAAAATGCCTAAATGTATAGCCGAAAGCACTCGGATAAAAAGAACAATTAGACAGTTTTTATATAATTTATCATCCAAAAAGAAAAAAATTATTAGGTAACATGAGAAATTGTATAAAAAAAACTAAATCAAAGCACCTTGTCTGTTGTATTGATTGTAATGTGCATGAAATGAGGATTGTTACCTAAATGCACATATCTGATTCAGAATTTAGAATGCCATGAATGAAACTACTAATAGTAGTTTCATTAAAACTTTACACCTTTTTGTAGATCGTTTTTTTTTTTTCAAGAAGTAATATTTTAAAACGGTTGTCTCTAAACTCTAATATGTGGACAGCATTGTATATAGTTAAGTTAGCACCATTTCACAAACTAAAGAAAAAGTATCATTTTTATAAATGAATGAGTAAAATTTAAATAAGTTTTATTTGGCTCTTATATATATATATATATAGGTTTGTATGATTTAGAACAGAAGAGAGAAATGCAACAATAATATATAGATACCACCATAGAAAACATGTATGCTTTAAAGTGAATTTTTCAAAGTGAAAAATCTTTTCTTAAACTTTTATTTTAGTTTTAATTTCAAACTAATAGATTAAATTTAATATTTTCAATAACAAAAATATTTTTCTGTATTTCCAAACAAATTTAAATTGATTGGAATGTATTTTTTTTTTTTTTTTTAAATTACTAAAAATTGCTGATTTTACCCATATTTACAATTCTCTCATCACAATGTAATTCTCTTTTATTAAAAAACTTTTCAAAAATATACTTTTCTGAAACTATTTGAAGACGAGCTGATTTAAAGTTTAATCAATCTGATTTGAAACAAATATTACTTTTATTTTAAAATATCGCAGAAAAGCATTTTTTTAATACAGTAGTGGTTGTTTTTATGAGATGTTGACAGCTCTATTAACATCCTGATGTTTAGGAAATTTGGGTAATTTTTTTTTATATGTGGGACATATCCGTAAAAATTACTGGGTGAATATAATGTGAGTGGCATTTTTTTTTTAATATAATTTTTCTAATTACCCACTTAAAAACTTTGGAAAATATTCTCTGTAATCTAATGTATCACTGACTTTTAGGTATTTTGCTTTTAAATTTACTATAGTTACTGCTCTTAATTACTGATAATGTCGTATATAGATTTGTATTTACAAAAACTGGCATGTTTGTACACATGCACAAAAAAATTCAAAATCTTTTAAAAATACTGTGGGTTGCTGAATTGTATTAAGATTTTACACTTATAATTAATAAATATACTTTTTACTTAATATCAGATAAACAGTACAAATTAATACTGAATTTTATGATTTTAAACTTTATAGATTATTCTAATTAAAATTCTTAAATGAAAACAATTCTTATAAAAATTCATTATTCACTGAAAAGAATATTTTTCTTAAGGCATTAGTATCTATATCTTATTCATAAAAGCAAAATTTTTTCTAATTAAATAATGTCTTTATATTTTATTGCATTTTTTATTTTACAATTCAGAGCAGATCTTTGGTAACTGGAAGTCCTGTTTTAGAAAAAAAATTGATAATTTAAATTTTGCAAAGATTCTTATCTGATCATGACTAATATAAATATTAATTTCTCAGAATGTCATAAACTTAAATAAGTGGAGTAACAGATTTAAAGAAAAAAAAAATTTATCAAGATTTTCTTTTAAAAAAAAAAAAGTTTCAAAAATAATTTCATTCATTTGAGAATAAATCCTGAAAGTTTCATTAAAATCTGAAAAAGACACTAAAACATCCCATACTAATTTATGTTCACCCATTGACACAAAAAAAAGTTTTAACCAAAATCTGGAAGGGCTAAAACTATAATAATAAAAAATATCCTTTGGTCTTTCCTCTTAATAATAACAAAGATTTTGACAATAAAACGTATTTTTATTGAGTTTGGAGCATTTTTTTTCATCACGTATGCTCATTTTTTAGCAAATCTTTAGTGATACCTAGGGTGCAGCAGAAATACCTCCCACACAAATACCCCTTACTGTCTTACTATTATGTTGAAGGTTATTTCTGCCACACCCTGTATAAACAATATTTGTGATTATACCAAGGAATGATATGTAATGAGCTAAAAATGCCAAACAGCAAATGGTCTGCTGAAATAAGTAACTGCTGATCAGAAAAGTACATTATTAATAATCACTCAAAATAATTATTTCAAATGGTGGTTGGCTGGATAAGATTTTGTGGTTTGTTGGCTGTAACTTGTGCAATTCTGTTCTAAGCTGATCATTTATTTTCTTTTTCTTTTTGAATCATTCAGCTGCAGACTCCCCAGTCGTTTGGTCAAAGTGTCAATGAACTTGTTATTGCACTTCAACGAACTGGAGATCCTGGCAACTTGTCTCGACTGCGACCACATTTTGAACTTTTGGCTAATATTGACCCTTCTCCTGGTGAGTAATCTTCCTCTCTTCTAGTGGGATGGAAAAGAGGTTCTTTGTTCAGGCTGTCATTGAAAAGCTTTTCAGATTTGGGAACCCCAGTAATAGAACCTTTTAATAATATTTTAAACTATCTTAGATGTAAGTCCTCTTTTAATAGTTCCTTTTTCAGCATTTCTCACCTCTGGAACTCTCTACCACCTAGCTTCTTCAAAAATTTAAATCTAATAACGTCAATTGCCTTTTCTATATTCTTGAAACCTGTTCTTTTATTGTGCTTTCTCTTCAAAAGTCTTCACATTCTCTTTCACTCCCAGTAAACCCTTGCTCCTTAGGAAAAAAAATAAAAAAAGCTGTTCTTACAAACTTATCAGCTAAATTTATCATAGACTGGTACATGGCCACAGTTGAGGAGCACCTGAACCCATTCTTTTATTGTTTTTTTCTCCTCACTAATCTTATTCTTTTTCACTACCAGTAATACCTGTGTCTTAGTGGCATTATTGCCTTCTTTGGGGGTAAAATGCTTAAAAATAAAATATCAATGCAGGAAACAGCAGCAGTTATAACATGACTCTATCAATTAAATCTTTTTTTTAAGCCCTGACAAATTTTCTTTCAGATGCACCAATCCCAACCTGGGACAACTTGGAAGCTGTAATGAATGCCGTAAAAACTGTTGTGGAAGGACTTGTTGACTTTATCCAACACTACAGCCACAAGAAACATGAGCCAGCCAACTTGCATAATACTAAATATAAGACCAATATGTGTCGTGATTTAACTCAGAAGGGAAGCTGCCCCCGTGGAGCCAACTGCACCTTTGCACATTCTCAGGATGAGATGGAGAGGTAAGTGCATTATGTGTATATAAAATTGTGTGTGTGAATAGACATATTGTACATGCACATGTGTGTATGGGGGCGGGGGTTACAAGTTTGTGTAGAGATTTCCATTTTCTAAATATGGAATTTTTGTTTACTGGTCTGTGCTTTTTTTTTTTTTTTTTTTTTTTGTTACCTGAAAATGATTTGATTCCAACGCCTCTTGCAATATTTTGCTTTAGCTTCTACTCTGACATGGAAAGGTAAGGTTCAATGTATCCTATTTAAGAAATGCACTTTGCTTGGCTTTAAGCTTTTCTGTGGCAAACCGACCAACACTAATATATATATATATATATATATATATATATATATATATATATATATATATATATATATAAAAAAAGGCGTGTGTGTATAATAATGCACAGCCGCAATTTTCAACGGATTTGCACCAAAATTTACATGCACATGCTCCAAGTTAGCAGGAAAGCCAAGACCAACTTTGCATTTCCCAACTCCCATCGATAGTGGAAATAATCGATTTTTTTTCATGCTTCTACGGCAGTTTTCATGTAGTTTGCAGCCATTTTCTACTGGCCAGAGTGAGAGCCAACAGCTGATTGACATGAATGTTAACTAGTATGCTAGCATGCAAAAAAATCGATAGCTGCATTCATCACAAGTGGGGAAAAATTTAAATCTGCATGGCACTTTACTCTAATTGGCTCATTCGCTTGCTTAAACTCAATGTTGATTCTGATTCTGCAGAACTGGGTTGGGTGTGAAAAAGTGTTAACATTCTTTTTTCATTTGGTTTTACCAGTTACAAGTCCTTTTTTAAAGCAGATTGTTTTGTGTTCATTTTGTTTAGTTCTTTTTTTCGTAACAGATTTAATGTTTAGTATAGAGCTTAGAAAAATTTGCAGTGTGAGATAGGCAAGAAGTAAGGCATGTAGCAACATTAGCACGGCAAAGGGCACTCCTTTAAAGGCAAGGAAGGGCAAAAATATTTTAAGTCAAGTGATAGTGATTTCTGTACAAGTCGTACGATTTTTGCATCAAGCACGGGCAATGCTGGTAATATATATATATATATATATATAGGTAATAGATCCATTGGTATATAATCCAGGTGGATCCTAGTAATATTAGATATTAAAACTGATCCACACAGAGAGAGTTCAATGTATTTATTATAACAGAGCATATATAATATACAGCAGTTTTCAATCAGCACCTGACGATTGCATTGTGCATGAAATTCACTTGTGCTACCAGTGATGGTGAGGAGGGATGTATATTTATTATTAGTATAAATTTTAGTCATGTTGTTCTATATTGAGCTGTTTTGTTAATACTATCTCTCAATATGTGACACTTTATAATTATACACACGCACACTTTCTCATCAAAATGTATTGGGACTGTTGCTATGGTGACGGAGCTGAAGTACAGGGTGAAGCCACTGGGCAAAGATTGACCTTGAACTCAATTGTAAGTGCACTCTAAATAATAAAGTTCTCGCTCACTTCTGTTGTTGATAGTGTTTCGAAAGCAGGTAGTGAATTTTTATATATATATATATATATATATATATATATATATATATATATATATAAATTTAAAATTTATAGATTTTTTTTCTTTTTCCCTTGATATGTGCAAAATGATTTTTTTTTTCTTTGATACCTGTTTACTTAAGATGATGCTTTGATTGGATATATTCTGGGGAAAGCAAATATTACATGTCTGAAATTTTGGGTTTGCTGCCACAGATTATTTTACTGGTTACTGCTGAAATAGTCCTTCTTAAAATGTGTTTTAATTTTCTAATACTGTCAAGAATAAACTTTTTTTTTTACAAAAGGCTGAGTCAGCATTTCAGAACCATAATCCTGTTTCTTAGAAACATTGATTTCAATTTTTAATCCTAAACTCATCAAAAGTTTTAAATTGTTTCTGGCCTAAAAAAATCTTTCAGTGCTTCCCTACTGAAACTCTGTAGTTGGATAATAAAATTTTAAATTGTTTTCTATTGACTCACAAAGTAGGGAATATTGCAAAAACTGTTAAGGGTCATATCATTTCAGGTGAAAATCTAATTAGAGAATGTTTTGTGTGTGTGTGTGTGTATATATATATATATATATATATGTGTGTGTGTGTGTGTGCAACCTTTTATATGCAAAGAAAAAAACAGCTCTAAGTTCTTTAGCAGTGATTGTGCCATCTTTTCCTTAAATTCTTTCTTATTTTTTTAATTCTGCTCATGGATGATGATGATGATGATGAAAAACCACAAAAATGTAGGTATCGTGCTCGGAACAAAAAGTTTGGTGGTAAAACTGGAACCTCATCAGTGGCTGGGCTTACACCAAAGGAAAAAGCAGAACTTGATCAAGTAACCAAATCTACACGTGAACGTGAACGGATGATTGCAAAATCAGCCCGGCAAGAATCATTCAATCCTTTGGCTGTCAAGCAGTAAGTTTTTTTTTTTTCTTGGGTTGTCTTGTTTGATGACATAAAATATAAAATTTTGCATGGATGTAAAATGCCAATTTTACAGATAAGTTTTTTTAATTAAAACTTCTTTTTGGCCTGCAAAAATCCAGATAATTTTCCTGATTAAACATTTAATATCTTTTTTTTTTTTTTTTTTTAGGTTGTTTGTTGACAAATTTTAGGAAATACGTATAGAAATTGGTGGTTGTAATAACCTCCGTCTTTTTAAGTGCTTCTAGAATATCAAGTGCAAGGCCATAAAGACTACTATATTCTAATGAAGTAATAATTACTATTATTGTCAAAATTACAGAATTCATTCTGTTCATTTAATCACAATTTATCTTAAAAATATTTTGACTTTTAGAAATGAAGAATTGACAATATACTTATTCCAACTATTGTTCTCATCTTATTATAGACATTATGCTTCAAGTACTCACTAGCCATCTTCAGGTGTACATCATTTTGATTGATATGGGATCTCATGTTGTGTTAATTTTGGTTCTGTAATGCCATTTCTTGTTTGTTCCCATGATCACAGTGGAATATGTCACTGCAAATGAACAGCATTAAAAGAACAAAAATTACACAGTATGCAAGATATACCATATCAGAGAAAATAATACACTGAAGATAGCGAGAGAACATTTGACTGAAATGTATAGGTTTATAACAACTATAATAAAGATGAGAACAATAATTCAAATACTTTGAATAAATCATTTACATAAGTCTTATAATTGTTTATTAAATATCAGTGAAATTCTTGGTTGTTCATTGCTATCAAAGAATTCTAAGGCTAATAAGTTTTTGTTCATTTGAATAGTAGACAAATATTAAATATAAAACACATAACACATATTTTGTCAATAAATGAGAACTTTTTTTATTAGTTATTTTTATTACTCCTGTAATATATATTATAATAATAATATAATCTGTAATATTATATTTTCTAATAAATGTATTTTAAGTGGAGAAAAACAATTTAGACTTGAAATTTGTTCATCTTGTCAGCAGTGAAACGACAAATACAGAACTAGTTATGAAAAAAAAATAAGATGATTTGTATAAATTAAAATCATTGACTAGAAACCTTCAGGAAAGCTGTGTGTGTGTGCTGAAAATTTTCTTTTTACTTACCCAAGATCATTACATTTTGTGTATTGTTTTCTGACAAACAACATTTTTTTTAGCATTTTTATTGGTTCTTAGTGCACATATACAGGTGCGATCGGTAAACTGTTGTCATTTTACATTTTTAAATTCGTGCATGCTCGTTTTTTGCTTTTGATTTTGTCATCTGCACATTCTAGCAAGGTCAGTTGAAATTTGGAAACGGCATGCTGTACTGCTTGGCATCGATGCCAGAAGCTCCAATATGAGCAATGCAGATTGTCACTCTGAGGACAGTGCAGAGGATTTGGAAAGAGTTAGATGAGTCTAATAGTGATTACGAAGGTGTTTGGAGTGATCACTAGTGATGGCATTATTATGCCTCCATTCATCTTCCCACTGGGCCCCAAACTCCACATGTAGGCCTACATCAAGGGGGAGGTAGTACTGTTTGGCAACAGGACTCTGCACCATGCCACAAGCAGGAGAAACCAGTCATGACAATTTCTCTGACCACATCACCATTTACATATGGCCATCTAACTCCTCAGACTGCAACCCCCTTAATTATTGTGTGTGGGTCACAGTTGAGTGAGAGACCTACAAAACTCCTTGTAACACTAAAGATGAACTGAAGGCAAGGATTATGGCAGCATTCACCAACTTAAACAAGGAGACTGTCCAGAAGAGTTGCAGAAGATTCTGGAGGCCATGGTGGAAGCCAATGGCAATTTTATTGAATAAATTTACTCTTTAGTATTCCAAGATATTATGGTGTAAGTTTGGTAAATATATCTGTTAAAATGAGATGTTGGGTTATTTTCACTTTTGTATTATTTATCCATCGCATTCTCTATATGTAAATGTAGTACAATGTCAGAAATAAACTCATCAATTAAAAATAAAAAAAACCCAGAAAACTTAAATTTCACGTTGTAAAATATTTTCTTGATATTTTTTCCCCTAACGCTAGAAACTCTACTAATTACCTGGAAGAATTATAACTTTGAAATATAATTAGCTAGGGTCATTGAATATTTCTATGGTAACATATTTATCAAAATGAGAATTTAAAAGGAAAAGAAAAATATTTTTTTTTTAAGAAAAATCTAAAACTTGCTATTGTTTCTTTTTCATTTCAGTCTTCCAGTTACTGTGAAGTTGGCGACGACTAGTGAACCAGTCAATACTGAGAGCACTACCCCTTGCTCACTGTCCCCGGAATGTTCCAACAGTAGCAGCACGACGACAACTGTCACCACTTCAAAGGCGACTATTTCGTCAGTCTCCCAGGAGCATGCTGGTAGCAGTAATACCACTACTACCGTCTCTTCTGTAACCTTTCCGAAGAACAGTGTGCCATACTCAACTAATAATTCCAAAGAGGAACGTTTTTCTCCAGTGCCTGTTAGTCACAGCATTACTGTCCCTAATTGTACTCCGCTCATTCAGTCTTATGAAATACCTTCAAATCACATAGATGGTGAGCAATTTCTTTCTGTTGAATCCTTTCTTCTTATTTTTTTATTTTTATTTTTTTTATTTGTTTAATCAGTCCTTTAATTTATTGTCTAATATGCAGAAAATACTTATTTGTAAAATGCTGAAAGTGTGTGCTTGCTGATGCCATTTGCAAGGAAGGAATTATACATCTCCATTATGAAACTGAAGCCAACACTATTGCATATAATTGTTAATTTTGAGAGGACAAACCATATTTATCAGAGAATTTGCATATTTGGTTTCAGACTGGCATAGAGCCAGTCGAACTCGGCCACAAGAATGGCAAAGTGAGGGTGTAATTATTCAAATGAAACTATCACACCTGGTTAACTTACTGTAGTGCATCACTTGGTCCTTTTAAGTAGGCAATCATGGCTCTTCACGGTATGTGTGGGTTATGTAATGGATAACTGCTTGGAATAAGAAGTCAGGAATCAGTTTGAATTTCAAGTTACATTCAATTACTGTGCATGTTTAGGATGCTGAATGCACTTTTACCAAAGGACAAGAAGCTGAACGGACAGAAGGACGAAAACATTCCTACCTATGTAGTTTAATGACCAATTCACCAATTTAATTAAAAAAAATTTTTTTTTTTTAATTATAACATATTATGACCTAACAAAAAATATGATACCATTAACAATAGGATAAAAATCATTTTTAGTTCTTATAATAGAAAAAAGGAGGATTGGTGTTTCTATGATCTTTGGCTCACAATCTTATTATTTTTGTCTGATCACATTATGCTTACATTGTAAGTTTTATGTATCTATTTCTTTTAATTTTTTAGTCTTTCAAATGGTTATATTGTAGGAATAAAATGATTATCACAAATTTTAATTTTTATGTCTTTTTGGCCTCTTGTCTGTTTGGAATTGTGCCCATTTGGCTTGTTCTTTGGCAAAAGCGCATTCAGCATCCTGTCCATATACTGTAAAATACGTACTTGGGAATATGTATCCATCTCCTCTAAGCTATAGATTATTTAAATAGTATGACTTGTATCTTTAAAGTTGGCTGCACATTTCAGCCAGTCAAATGATTGTATTAATAACATTAAATGTTGTGTCCTTTTAACGTCTTCATTTAAATGCCAACAAGAATGACAAAAGTCCAAGTTAAAATAAAATAAATTCAAACATTCTAGGTTTAAATAGAAATTTAGTTATTCTCAATGAATTCAGTTTCCATAAAAAGCATTCTGCAAACCCTCAACAACTTGAATCATGGCAAACAATGTGCTCAAAGTTACTAGATTTAATCTGTAATATAATACGTTTTTAACATCTTTCTCATCGTGCTTCCATTTTGGTCAAAATGCCTACTAATATACAATGAAAAATTGAGTGTTGGGGTTTATAAAATAGTGCTTGATGCAACAACAGTTATAACCTATATATTAACCTTTACAACTCCACACACATTTTTGGAGTTGTATCCCCTGGATCAACATTAATTTTGGGTGTGGTAAGTTTTTGAATGGTCGGTATATTACTAGCAGTAACTTTAGGCTTTTAGGGAGATGTTGTTATAAAATTGTCAGACATTTTTTTTTTACTGTACATATAATAAATTTTGAGAAAAACTTAAGCATGAAAACTAAAAAATAAATAAGGAGGTGGGTCGCCATTGTGACTGAAAAACAAACTTTTTTAAAACACTTTATTAAAATTTGCTGATAAAACAACTATTTCAATTAGGACAAAATGACTGACATCCAGTCAGTCTTAGTTCATATCACAAGCTTAATGCCATCACTTCTGTAGTTTTTTTTTTTTTTTTTTTTTTATAGAAACGTTCTTCCCTTTGAAACAAAGTTCTATAATTCTGCAAACATGTCCGCCTGGATAATATTGGGAAAGAGTATTGCCGCCAGACTTATGCGCCTGCAGAGTTGCAAAGTTTAATAAATATGCTTCTTTTTTTTTTTTCTTCTTCTTCACTGGTAGCACATCTCAGGGTTTCATACATAACACAATCTTAAGGATTAATCCAGCAGCTGAAGATTGATTGCATTGTGCATGAAACTCTAACTCGTTAGTTTATCATGTCCTTTTTTGATAAACCTATAAAAAGAAGCGGAAGTAAAGATAAAACTTTTTTTTACTATAAATTGGGAAAGCAATTTAAAACCTAAGAAATCTAATTAACAGTGAACAAATGTTTTGTAAGTTCTACTTGTGTTTGGCTGAAAGTTATCCCTGATCGTACAAATCTTGTTTTTATTTTCATCTTCAGGAAACTATTATCCACCATCTCAGTATTGCCTTCCACCTCGTCATCAGAGGTTGCCAGTACCAGCTAATCAGTACCCCTTCAACTATCGGGTAGACCCTGGCATTTCTCACGTGCAGTATCGGGCATCAGCCATGTTTGACATCCATGCCATGCCAGTTCCTCCTCTTTACACTGATCCCTGGAAGAAACAAGGGAGCCATTTTGATCTCAAGAAGGAGAACTATATCCAAAAAACAGTCCCCACGTCTGGCCCATTTCCTGACCACAGTGGTTGGGAGCAGTCGGTGACATCAGCAAAAGTCAGTATTTACCTGAAACTTTATTATTTATCATTTCCTTTTCTTGGCAGTGTCTCCACCTAAATCAACATGCCTGTAATATTTGTAAACAAGTGACATTCAACATCATTGTCCTTGATAGGAAATAAGAGTGTAATTTCAGTTGTTTTACCGAGAACATCGTTTGCTTGCATATATCTCCTATTATTGTTTTAATCTTGCAGGAAAAGTGTTTTACTTTTTTTGGTAAAAAGCTGAACAAGAAATCTTTTACAGTTGTATAATATTTTTTTTTTTTTTTTTTTTTTGTGGTTTAAATTATACTTAATAAGCTATGATTTTAAATTTCATTGTTTAAATTGGCACATGAAAGCTATTTGCCCACAAAAACTGTCAAAAGGACGGTACTTCCATTGACACTGCTGTTATTTTAACTACCTTCACTCCTCAGTGATGATTAAAATTGGAATAAAACCTAAGCATATGAAAGTGAATTTGTACATTTTCTTTGTTCCTGGGAATTGGTAACAAAAATAATAAGCAATATTGTTTATTGGAATGATTGGAAAAACATCAGCTAATTGACAGTTAATTTGAACTTTATAAAATGGTAAATAATAAGGATAAAGAAAATGGCACTTGTGACGATGATGATCTCCCAGGAAATATGACTAAAATTTTATCTTCAAAATTTACCTTTGAAAATAATTTAAAATGCCTTTTTTGCTATTTGACAGTTCATTACAGCATTTAAGTTTAAAATACAATTTTTTTTTTTTTTTCTCCTGTAGAATGTGGAAGATCTGCCAGACCGACACTTAGAAATCTTGAATCTCCTTCCGAGCCGAGTCCCCACTACTGGTGCACCATGCACTCCAGTAACGAATGCTCCTGCCATCTACCAACATAATTACCAGACCAACATTCAGGATATGGGTGACGTCATCAAAGAACCAAAGAGTATTATCTCACCTTGTGTAGCCAAATCCTCAGCTGAGACTTACATAGCTACATCCACTACATCTTCTCTTTCTAACAGCGTTGCCTGTGGTGAGTCTATCATGATTAGTGGCATCTCTGTAAATGTTCACCTCTTCCAATTATCCTCTTTGGCTTCTCTCGCTGTGGGTGTGTATAAACGAATGAAGATAGGGCATGTGTACTGAATTGCTTGATATTCATGGTGTGTGTGTGTGTGTGTGTGTGTGTGTGATGGTATCGAGAGCTGCTCATATTGGTGGTAAGTATATTCTTATTTTTAATTTAACTTTTTTTTCTTTCTTTTTTTTTTTTCCACAATATTGGCGCAGTTTCTGTGCTGGAATCTTTGTAAGCCAATCTTAAATGCGATTACACGTGTTCACTATGATATAGTGGAAATCCTAATTTTCTGTCTTCCTTGTGGGCATGTGAATCCTTTTTAACGTTTTTGAAATCCTTAATTGTTTCAAGCGGTTCAAACCTCTGAACAAGGTTTAACTTTTTTTTTTTTTTTTTCCTTTTTTTATAAGTAAGAATCGCTTTGTTGAAAAGGCTCTCTAATTGGAGTCCCTCTTCAGGGTGGCTGAATGGTGTCTTTTTACAAACATTTATGGAAGGATTCCTTTCTGTCCAAATCCCAATCTCTGGAAATGCCTGAAGAATATGTTGGCAATTGGTCTCTTAGAAGATGTTTCTGAAAGTAGGCAAAGTCCCTGCTGCTTTCAGTTGGTCAGTGGATTGGTCACTTTGCAAGGGCCATTCCTCATTTGTTCATCACCAACAATATACTGTGTATATTTTTAAGTAATGCTTATAACTGACATGTTTAATTCTGCTTGTTATTTTGTACATCTGAAAATTGTTTGGTGGCATACACCTACCTGCAGATTGTTACTTTAATAATTCACCTTTTCAAACTTGTTTTCTTGAAATCTGAGAATTATTCTCTAATTTTTGTTGATCTCTGGAGTTTAAAACTTTCAGAGATAAAGTGTTAGATGATTTATGTAAAAGTCAAAATGAGCTCTTGTCAGATTTTTTTTTTTTTAATCCCTCTGCTTCCAGAGAGCACATTTTGACTTAACACTTTCACTGCTGCATTGTTATATCATTGTTGCCTGGCTGTGCTGGCCATTTGGGGAAAGTAGAAAATTGCCATTTACTGAATATAAATGACACTGAAGACACTAATACATGACGAGAATCCTTTCTTCGAAATTCTTGGGACTGGAAGTGATTCAGTTTTTTTTTTTTTTGTTTATATATATATATATAGTAATACAGGTTATTAAATTTGAATATAGCATCTATAAAGTGGGGCAGCTTAGGAATGGAATCCAAGTATAAACATCCCTTTACATTTCATAACCCAGCTTATACATATACCTTGAAGGTAGTTTCATATAAATAACATATACACTGAAAATAGTTTTATATAAAATTTAATAAATTTTCTGTACATACAGATACAGGTGATGAGACTAGTCATGTAATGCTCACATGGATTTTTAAGTCATGAAATTAAGATTTCACATAAAAATATTTTGTACTTTGTGTATGCGTATAAAAAAAAACATGATCACTACTCACAAAAAAAATATATAACCTTTTGGCATTTTCAATAATATCTTTACTGAGCACGAAACACCTGGTAAGTAATCCACGAATGAAGGTGTTGCTGTGACAATCACTAACAAAATATCAGCACTAACATAGGTTACCTAGCTGGGCTTTCTAAAGTTTTCCATTTGTGGCAAGTCATGTCAACACTTGAAAAATATTCGGATTTATGAATTTTGGATAAAGGGAAAAATTTTTTTTTTTTTTTTTTTTTTCGTGGCTGCTGCTATTTTGGTTTAGATTGAATGTTCTGTAGTACAGATTAAGGTAGATGATCCCCTCCCCTGACATACAATATAATAAAAATACGACACAGAACAGATTGTATTGCATGCTACTATAGCTGCACTAGTTTGGGAATAACACACAGTGCTACTAATTACCAGGGATCAACATTTCATGGCATCTTGAAAATGTATATTTTTGATGACAACAGGCAATGTAAGTTCCGTAATGATGTACATGTGCATCTTGAAAATGTATGTTTACGTCAGCAGGCAATGTAAGTTATGTAACGACATACAAGTGCATCTTGAAAATGTATGTTTACGTCAGCAGCAGGTAACACGAGTTTTGTAAAGATGTATAAATACGTCCACAGCAGTGGAAGTGTTAAACTTGATGTATAAATAAACGCTTGAGGCCAACAAATGGTTTCAGGACTAAAGGTTGTATATAAAACTTTTGAAGACTGCAGTTGCATTGGTTCAGCCATGACAACAGGAGCAGCAACAGATAGAAAAATTCCACAAGGGAGACCATCAAAAAGTTGGCAGGCACGACTAAATGAAGACAGTTATTACCATCTCAGACTGCCACCTACTCTGGAAATATGAACAAGTCTTTTTATATAGAGGTGAGTTTTGACATCAATTTTAATTTTTTTTTTTTTTTTTTTTTCTACCCCAAGTTTTACATGAATAGGTATGTAATAACCAATGATAATAGATTGTAAGGTTGGTAAATCTGTAGAAATATTTTAAATTTTTTCTCTATATTTATTTTTAACTTGAAGAGATAGTTTCTATGTGTGATCAAAAAAAGAATGCTATTGCATAATCTTTAATGGAAATAGTATTTGAGAAAATATTAAATTTCATGTGTGTGTTAAAATAAAACAGATTAATAAGTGTATGAACAAGTTGCAGGCTGGATCTGCTGTGCACGTTGTTCCAATGGCTATTTAAAGTAATAAATAAAATTTAAAAAAAAAAATTGAAAAGTATGAATGCTGGCAGTGTTAACTTATATCACTGTCTATTCGACACTAATATTTTCTATTTGTTGTTGCATTTAACTTCTAGATAAGTAAACGGATGTCTTCTGCTGCTGTTTGTGTCTACCAAATTAGGACTAGTTTTATTTTGGTCTTCAACAGGATCTGTTCCCGCAAAGATGCTGTTGACCCTAGAATTTTTTTTTTTTTTTTTTTTTTTGTTGTTATTTTTTAAGTTGGTTCACATTCTTTGAAGATTACTGGGCTTCAATCAGCCCCCATCATCAGATGATAATTTTAATATGCATTTCAATGAGCGTGTTTCCATCCGAGGAGCTGCACCTCGTCTTCAAGAAGAAGCAGACACAGCTGAGGATATCAGCTTTGTAATATCAGAGAACCCTCACTGCAATTCACTTCCAAGATTTCTCTCCTCCAAATGGATCTTAAAAAAAATAAAAAAAAAGGTAAATATGTTTCCCAGATTATTCGTCAAAACAGCTTCTAAAGAGAAATAATGTTGGGCAGCTGCAAAGTTTACTTATCAACCTTCTTGCCCTAAAGTGGACTAGACTTTATTATAAACACAAACTAAATTTTGAATCCAATCTCTTCTATAAAGTTTTAATATTAAATGCTTTTAATTTTATGAATTTTCTTTTTTTTTTTTTTTTAAAAGAACCTAATGGAAAAACAAATCCTATACTGTCAACTGCAAACAAAAATGACTCTACATCTACAAAACTATTAAACCCGAAAAATCAAAATGAAAAAAAAAAAAAAAAATCCAAGAAATAGAAACATTCTCAAGAGAATGAAAAGATACAAAAAAAAAAAAAACGAAATGGTTATTGAAGAACCAAGGAAAATGGACATAGAGGAACAAATCTCTAGCCCATCACAAATGAAGGAAAAATCATCTAGACAAAGTTCATTAAAAGAACTGAATGGTAAAACTAAGGGAGCAAAATCAAACAAGAATGTAGAAATAAAAGAATTTCAAAGAACAAAACATAACAAGAAACAAAATGCTAAAAGTCTGAATATAGAAATGATATATAAGAAAAAAAAAAAAAATTGGACATGTAAAAATTCATAATTCGTAATACATAATCAAGATGCAAAACCTTATTCAATGGAATTGTAACTGGGGTCAAAACACTATGAAAGTGTAAAAATAGGTTCTAATACCAGAAATACTTTGTAAAAAAAAAACTATTACCAGCAATATGTTTTTGAAAACCAAATGTTGCCAGCAATGAATTTTTGAAAAACAAATATATTACCAGCAATATATTTTTTAAAAAAAAAAAAAAAAAAAATGTTACCAGCTATACATATTTGAAAAAAAAAAAAAAATATTACCAGCAATGCATATTTGAAAGAAAATTATTACCAGAAATAGAATTTTTGAAGGAAAAATTTTACCAGAAATAGATTTAAAAAAAAAAAATATTACCAACAATAAAAATTTTGTTGACATCATATAACCCATTGAGGTTGATATGCCATAAAACCAAAACAAACCAAACCATATTCACAATGTTTTGGTCGTTGTATGCTTCAGTTGATTGGCATTTTGAACCAAACCCTTTATTTTGTTCATGGGCGTAAATTGTTCTAGTTCCAAGAAGGCCAAAACGTTGTGAATATGGCAATGAAGATGTGGACAACAATTTGAATAATGTAAAAAATGTAAGTAATCCTAATACCTCATCTCAGAGATATAGACAGAAATTAAAATAGATTACAAAATATACAATTGAAAAACAACTACATTTAAGAAGGAACACATGAGCATATGTAAGAACATGAACATGCTTGCATCCATAAGAGTTTAAAAAAAAAAAAAGTACACAAGTATGCAAATTGAAAAAAACAAAACAAAAAAAACATTCATTACAATTGAAAATATTTAATATATAGATTAACCACCTTGAAAAGTGTACATATTACCATGAAACTGTAGTTGTGGAAATTATAGTTGCGTAATTTTGTGTGTGTGTATATATATATATATATATATATATATATATATATATAAAAATAATATTATCAATGCTCTATATTTAATATTGAGCACTATATGAAATGTTTCACTTTTAAATCTATATATATATATATATATATATATATATATATATATATATATATATATATATATATATATATAGGGAATGGATTTTTCATTTATTAATCCAATATTTAATTTATTACTTAAATGTGTGTGTTTTTTTTTTTTTTTTTTGATACCTATATTTGAGTAGATGCTCTGTTTTTATTTATATATTAAACAATATATTTATTTATT